TCATTTCATGTGAAATTTTCATTAGACCAAAAATAATTTCCCATAGGCTCACAAATTTCATTCCATGTGAAATTTTCTTTGGATCAATGAAAATTCCACATAGACTCACAAATTTCTTTCTGTCTTTTTCCTCAGCTCACCAGAATTTGAAGGAAGTTGGTAAAAGGAGTTGTTATTTCATACTCACCACACTTGCTTTATGTCTGGTAAAATATGAAAGGTGTTGTCCATTGCTAGCCTTTGAAAGATGGGAGGTGCATCACTGCCAATGTTAATTTCTAGCAACTTCATAAATGAAGAATTATGTTGAATGTGCCTTACTTTAGTAAACAAGAATCTGTTATTCTCAAAATGACAATGCAAGGACACACTCTGCAAAAAGAAAAAAAATACAGTCATTGGAAGTTCTTCCACATCATCCATATTAACCAGATTTAGCATCTTTAGTTTTTTATTTGTTTTAATCCCATGATCATTTTAAATTGCATAATATTCAAAAACAAATAAGTTAAAAACATTATTTCAAATTTTTCTTTTTTTTTAAAGGGAAAATCAAATTTCTTTAAACATGGAATCAAAAATTTACATTTCTGTTGGATTGCAATCATTGAAAATGAAGGGAATTATATTTTTGATAAATAATATTTAAATAAGATTTACACTATTTACATGGAGTTTATTGTCCTCGTCTTTGTTTTTCTTATGTTTTGGAAGTTATGCCCTCTAGCCTTCATCAGATATCTTGATCAAAGTAACATACAAAGAATTCTGAACTAAACCCTTTATTCAATCTATGGGGCTAGACAGTTCTCATTCCACTGCCCATATTTAGAAATATCTCATTTAGTTCTTATTTTTAGTACTAAGCAGTTGTTGCTGTTCCCAATTAATTCAAGCACACGCACTGCCTGGCCCAGGGATTGAACTCACAATTGCTGTGTCACCGAATTAGATTTGTTTTTATATTGCTTCTGGTAAAAATATTACTTTCTGAACTCCCTAATATATCAAACGAGAATGTCATTGTAATAATCAAATATGTAATAATATATGTGACGGCTTATATTACAATTTCTATAATATGGAAGGTGCTGAAAAGTTCTCAGTCTTATCCACTTTACTAAATCAGCATTTCAATATCCAAACATAAGCATATTGATTTTATGGAATGGGCCTGGTTGAAAATATTTTCAGCTAGCTGGGCCATAGCTGAGACAAATGTTTGGGGAGTGGGGGGGGGAATATTTTAGAATTTAGTTATTAAAGGATGCCATCATGATTAGCAACAAGAATATTTAAAATTTCCTGTACCTTGAGACTGGCAGAAATCATCTTTGAAATAATACAGAACCTTCAGAGGTTACAGCCAAATCACATTGAAACACCATTTCTCATATGATCATTGAAGTTAAGCAATGCTAAGTCTGGGCAGTACCTTAATGGATGACTGCTCAGTAATGCCAGGTGCTGTCACCTTGGATGTTACAGTTGGTGAAATGGATAATGCCTCGAAATTAGAAATCGAAGAGCTGTGTTCTAATTCCAGTTGGGTTCATTATATTCACTTACGTGCAAATACCCAGGGGAAAATATAAATCCACCTCTTCTCCACCCACCTATGGGCTAATTATTATTTCCAAAAATTCTTACAAGCTAAAAAATATTTTTTGGCTTTAAATAACCAGCAAAATGTTAAGCTGTAGGAGAAAAAATAAATCAATAAAAACACTTGTCATGAGAATGTTGGTCAAGGTTGTTAAAAAGCCTATAATATTATATCACCATAAATTTGTTAATTTTTGGCCTAAATTTTGTTAGAGAAAGTAAGGGATTGTCATTGGTCATGGATTTATAAATGTGTTACTGGCTAGTATACTAGTTTATAAGTACTTATTTCTGCATTCCATAAAAAATGATGATAGATTTAAAATCCTCATTAGGATTGGTTTTTCACATGTCTATAAATTATGGGTCTCCAATTCTTTTAGATATCAACTCCATTATGAAATATCTGCTCCTTCATCAACTCCCAGGAAGGTCCAAAAATTATTAGGGATAGAAATTCATTTATGCTTTGCCTTCATCATTGTTCCTTGATAAGTTTCATTTTAGCTTTACATTTTGTTATTCAGTTTTCAATTTCTATTTCTTTTGCTCAACTGTTCAAATAATAATAATAATAATATTAATAATAACTGTTATTTTTGTCAAACATTGTCTTTTCTACTATTGGATGGCAAAATCCAGACATTAGATGATGATGATGATAATAATAGTTATTTGAATTTTATTACTGCTGGCAAAATCCAGACATTAGATGATGATGATGATAATAATAGTTATTTGAATTTTATTACTGCTGGCAAAATCCAGACATTAGATGATGATGATGATAATAATAGTTATTTGAATTTTATTACTGCTGGCAAAATCAGACATTAGATGATGATGATGATAATAATAGTTATTTGAATTTTATTACTGCTGGCAAAATCAGACATTAGATGATGATGATGATAATAATAGTTATTTGAATTTTATTACTGCTGGCAAAATCCAGACATTAGATGATGATGATGATAATAATAGTTATTTGAATTTTATTACTGCTGGCAAAATCCAGACATTAGATGATGATGATGATAATAATAGTTATTTGAATTTTATTACTGCTGGCAAAATCCAGACATTAGATGATGATGATGATAATAATAGTTATTTGAATTTTTTTATTACTGCTGGCAAAAATCCAGACATTAGATGATGATGATGATAATAATAGTTATTTGAATTTTATTACTGCTGGCAAAATCCAGACATTAGATGATGATGATAATAATAATAGTTATTTGAATTTTATTACTGCTGGCAAAATCCAGACATTAGATGATGATGATAATAATAATAGTTATTTGAATTTTATTACTGCTGGCAAAATCCAGACATTAGATGATGATGATAATAATAATAGTTATTTGAATTTTATTACTGCTGGCAAAATCCAGACATTAGATGATGATGATAATAATAGTTATTTGAATTTTATTACTGCTGGCAAAAATCCAGACATTAGATGATGATGATAATAATAATAGTTATTTGAATTTTATTACTGCTGGCAAAATCCAGACATTAGATGATGATGATAATAATAATAGTTATTTGAATTTTATTTGGCAAAATTACATTAGATGATGATGATAAAATAGTTATTTGACATGGCAAAAAATCCAGACATTAGATGATGATGATAATAATAATAGTTATTTGAATTTTATTACTGCTGGCAAAATCCAGACATTAGATGATGATGATAATAATAATAGTTATTTGAATTTTATTACTGCTGGCAAAATCCAGACATTAGATGATGATGATAATAATAATAGTTATTTGAATTTTATTACTGCTGGCAAAATCCAGACATTAGATGATGATGATAATAATAATAGTTATTTGAATTTTATTACTGCTGGCAAAATCCAGACATTAGATGATGATGATAATAATAATAGTTATTTGAATTTTATTACTGCTGGCAAAATCCAGACATTATGATGATGATGATAATAATAATAGTTATTTGAAGTGCTGGCAAAATCCAGACATTAGATGATGATAATAATAATAGTTATTTGAATTTTACTGCTGGCAAAAAATTAGATGACATTAGACATTAGATGATGATGATAATAATAATAGTTATTTGAATTTTATTACTGCTGGCAAAATCCAGACATTAGATGATGATGATGATAATAATAGTTATTTGAATTTTATTACTGCTGGCAAAATCCAGACATTAGATGATGATGATGATAATAATAGTTATTTGAATTTTATTACTGGCAAAATCCAGACATTAGATGATGATGATGATAATAATAGTTATTTGAATTTTATTACTGCTGGCAAAATCCAGACATTAGATGATGATGATAATAATAATAGTTATTTGAATTTTATTACTGCTGGCAAAATCAGACATAGATGAGATGATAATAATAATGATGAATTTTATTATGGCAAAATAGACATTATTTGATAATAATAATTTATTTGAATTTTATTACTGCTGGCAAAATCCAGACATTAGATGATGATGATAATAATAATAGTTATTTGAATTTTATTACTGCTGGCAAAATCCAGACATTAGATGATGATGATGATAATAATAGTTATTTGAATTTTATTACTGCTGGCAAAAATCCAGACATTAGATGATGATGATAATAATAATAGTTATTTGAATTTTATTACTGCTGGCAAAATCCAGACATTAGATGATGATGATGATAATAATAATAGTTATTTGAATTTTATTACTGCTGGCAAAATCCAGACATTAGATGATGATGATAATAATAATAGTTATTTGAATTTTATTACTGCTGGCAAAATCCAGACATTAGATGATGATGATGATAATAATAGTTATTTGAATTTTATTACTGCTGGCAAAATCCAGACATTAGATGATGTTGATGATAATAATAGTTATTTGAATTTTATTACTGCTGGCAAAATCCAGACATTAGATGATGATGATGATTTGAATTTTATTATGGCAAAATCCAGACATTAGATGATGATGATGATAATAATAATAGTTATTTGAATTTTATTACTGGCAAAATCCAGACATTAAAATCAGACATTAGATGATGATGATGATAATAATAGTTATTTGAATTTTATTACTGCTGGCAAAATCCAGACATTAGATGATGATGATGATAATAATAGTTATTTGAATTTTATTACTGCTGGCAAAATCCAGACATTAGATGATGATGATAATAATAATAGTTATTTGAATTTTATTACTGCTGGCAAAATCCAGACATTAGATGATGATGATAATAATAATAGTTATTTGAATTTTATTACTGCTGGCAAAATCCAGACATTAGATGATGATGATGATAATAATAATAGTTATTTGAATTTTATTACTGCTGGCAAAATCCAGACATTAGATGATGATGATAATAATAATGTTATTTGAATTTTATTATGCTGGCAAAATCCAGACATTAGATGATGATGATGATAATAATAGTTATTTGAATTTTATTACTGGCAAAATCCAGACATTAGATGATGATGATAATAATAGTTATTTGAATTTTATTACTGCTGGCAAAATCCAGACATTAGATGATGATGATAATAATAATAGTTATTTGAATTTTATTACTGCTGGCAAAATCCAGACATTAGATGATGATGATAATAATAATAGTTATTTGAATTTTATTACTGCTGGCAAAATCCAGACATTAGATGATGATGATAATAATAATAGTTATTTGAATTTTATTACTGCTGGCAAAATCCAGACATTAGATGATGATGATAATAATAATAGTTATTTGAATTTTATTACTGCTGGCAAAATCCAGACATTAGATGATGATGATGATAATAATAGTTATTTGAATTTTATTACTGCTGGCAAAATCCAGACATTAGATGATGATGATGATAATAATAGTTATTTGAATTTTATTACTGCTGGCAAAATCCAGACATTAGATGATGATGATGATAATAATAGTTATTTGAATTTTATTACTGCTGGCAAAATCCAGACATTTGATGATTTAATAGTTATTTGCTGGCAAAATCCAGACATTAGAGATGATGATGATGATAATAATAGTTATTTGAATTTTATTACTGCTGGCAAAATCCAGACATTAGATGATGATGATGATAATAATAGTTATTTGAATTTTATTACTGCTGGCAAAATCCAGACATTAGATGATGATGATGATAATAATAGTTATTTGAATTTTATTACTGCTGGCAAAATCCAGACATTAGATGATGATGATGATAATAATAGTTATTTGAATTTTATTACTGCTGGCAAAATCCAGACATTAGATGATGATGATGATAATAATAGTTATTTGAATTTTATTACTGCTGGCAAAATCAGACATTAGATGATGATGATGATAATAATAGTTATTTGAATTTTATTACTGCTGGCAAAATCCAGACATTAGATGATGATGATGATTAATAGTTATTTGAATTTTATTACTGCTGGCAAAATCCAGACATTAGATGATGATGATGATAATAATAGTTATTTGAATTTTATTACTGCTGGCAAAATCCAGACATTGATGATGATGATGATAAAAAATCCAGACATTAGATGATGATGATGATAATAATAGTTATTTGAATTTTATTACTGCTGGCAAAATCCAGACATTAGATGATGATGATGATAATAATAGTTATTTGAATTTTATTACTGCTGGCAAAATCCAGACATTAGATGATGATGATGATAATAATAGTTATTTGAATTTTATTACTGACATTAGATGCAAAATCCAGACATTATTTGAATTTGATGATGATGATGATGATAATAATAATAGTTATTTGAATTTTATTACTGCTGGCAAAATCCAGACATTAGATGATGATGATAATAATAATAGTTATTTGAATTTTATTACTGCTGGCAAAAATCCAGACATTAGATGATGATGATAATATTTAAATTTTGAATTTTATTTACTGCTGGCAAAAATCCAGACATTAGATGATGATGATAATAATAATAGTTATTTGAATTTTATTACTGCTGGCAAAATCAGACATTAGATGATGATGATAATAATAATAGTTATTTGAATTTTATTACTGCTGGCAAAATCCAGACATTAGATGATGATGATGATAATAATAATAGTTATTTGAATTTTATTACTGCAAAATCCAGACATTAGATGATGATGATAATAATAATAGTTATTTGAATTTTATTACTGCTGGCAAAATCCAGACATTAGATGATGATGATGATAATAATAATAGTTATTTGAATTTTATTACTGGCAGACATTAGATGAAAAAATAATAGACATTAGATGATGATGATGATAATAATAATAGTTATTTGAATTTTATTACTGCTGGCAAAATCCAGACATTAGATGATGATGATGATAATAATAATAGTTATTTGAATTTTATTACTGCTGGCAAAATCCAGACATTAGATGATGATGATAATAATAATAGTTATTTGAATTTTATTACTGCTGGCAAAATCAGACATTAGATGATGATGATGATAATAATAATAGTTATTTGAATTTTATTACTGCTGGCAAAATCCAGACATTATGATGATGATAATAATAATAGTTATTTGAATTTTATTACTGCTGGCAAAATCCAGACATTATGATGATGATGATGATAATAATAGTTATTTGAATTTTATTACTGCTGGCAAAATCCATACATTAGATAATAATAAGAAGAGGAGATCGAGATTAACAGGATGTGAGGAATGAAGACTGAGACTGTACTAATAGTAATCAGAGAGAAAAGGAGAAAAGGAATGGACAAATTTATTAACAGTGTCCCAGGTAACATCAACAGAAGATCGCCCTACTAGGAACATCCCATATACTCAGAAAATTGCTATCACTTAAATGACCCTTCTCCTGTAGGGCCTAAGGACCATAGTTTGGAATCGGCTCTACAGGATACAAAAGCAGGAAACATAACATACACAAATGATAATAATAATAATTATATATTATTATTGCTGCTGGCTATCAAAATCCAGACATCAGATAATAATAATAATAATAATAATAATAAAACAAAATGACTGATGTAACTCTTCCAATATTTTACAACACCTAGAGAAGAGCATGATTTAAGAAATGGAAAAGAAAAAACACTGTTTAATAGTGTTCAACAATTTTTTGATAGTATGGCCTCCATTTTCAAGTTATACTTAAAAATTGTATACAAGTATAAAAATATTTAAAAAAATCTACAAACATTGTTTCTCTTGAGAAAGATGGCTGTACTGATAATCAATGTGTCAAAATGAAGTGCCACAAATGTGAATGGCATACAACTGAAACATGCATAATATTGTGGTGATCTTGCTTATCTTGGAATTTTCTGCAAGTTGATTAGTTACTAAGAGGAATTAATCAAATGATTTAGTATAAATCTTATGAAACTCTCCTGTCATTATGTTCATATGTTAGTAGATTACATAAGTAACTATCCTCGTGTGTTTGGGCAACTCGAGGTGGTGTAATGGTTAGCAAGCTTGTCTCGCTAGAACAAATTACGACTGAGTAGTGAGTTCAATTCTCACTGGGTGCCCCTTACTTTCGGCCTTGTGCCACATCTAAGCTACGCTTGGAAAATCACTATTCTCATGTGTTTTTAAATTTATTATTAGTAGTATTAGTATTACTATTATAGAAACAACCCTCATGTGTTTTTAAATTTATTATTAGTAGTATTAGTATTACTAAACAATCTCCAATCAGGTAAACGAATTCATTGACAACATTGCTTTATGTTTCCCACAGCAATATAGAAAAACAAACTTGTTAAATTATAAAACTATTGAAAAGATCCTAAGTCTTAAGTGTAAGTAATAAAATTAAATATTTTATAGCTTTGAGACATTCCTTTCCTTTTAGAGGGCATAACGAGGTTTTATTACTTATTGTCTGCAATCATTTTAAACTTCAAAGACATATAGAGCTTTACGCTTTACTTGTATTTCAACCAACCCTAATCAGTGCAAATTTAAAGTTAAAAGATTTTAAATATCTGTTTTGTTTATTTATGAAGAGAGAAGTAAAAAAACAAGACAAAATTATGGGCATTAGAAAATTAAAAAAAACTAACTTAGTTGAGATGAAAAGCACAGGCCAAAACAAAATGGGGAGGTTGGAAATCTCAACTGGGATTGTAAGTAGAAATCAGGCACAGACCGTGAATAACACTTACTCACATTAACTTGGTACATGTTGCTTTTCTTGTAATGAAAATGTGGCCGTACTGGTAATCAATGTGTCAAAATGAATAAAATCTTACTATTGCGACTGGCATGAAAATGAAATGTGTATAATATGATCTTGCATATCTTTGGAATTTTCTATAAGTTGATTAGTTACACAGAAGAATTAATTAAAGAGCTTAATATAAATCTTATGGAACTCTCCTGTTATTTCATTCATTCCCCTGGGCTAGGAAGTTAGTAGTTTGCATATGTAACTATCCCTCACACTTTCTCATATGATTTGTCTTGGAAAGCAACTTGATGAAGTTTGGACAAAAATTTTATCCACAAAATAAAGGATGTGCATAGCATGAAGGAGACAAACATATTGTCTAAATATTTTTGAATACTGTCAAAAACTGTCTTTTCTTTTCCTAAATTTTGCTCTTCTCTAAGTGTTAATAATAATTATAAGCTTGTAATAGAGAATCAGGTTAGCCTGATAAAAGACTCCAACTTGGTTGTATGTGGTGCTGTAAGCATCAGGAGTTGTGTCCCCTTCCACAATAGGCAGTTGAGAGAAGACCTTCTACTTAGAGTAGGTGGTGCTGATTGTTTGCATATGAATGATACTGGGCAGGTATTAACCAATAGTCAGCATGGGTCTAGGACTGGGAGAGCTATATAACACTGTTTTTCTCATTGAAGAGAGGTTCTCTCAACATACAGACATATGAACACCAGACAAGATGGACACAAAGCTTCATAAATAATATGGGTTATAATAAATACAGTAAGAAGTTATCTATTGATCTTGCAAGATAATGGTAGCAGCCTGATGGGTCAGAATTCTGTCCTTTAGTAATGAGAGAGTAACACCCTCTGCAGGGTGCAAGCCAGGGTGATGATATATAGAGGCCATATGCTGCCTGGACTACCTGCCTCCCACTCTCTTAATATACTTTTTTTATTGACTTGATCAACATCATTAATGGGAAAGGTGTTTGATGACTAGAAGTAAGAGTTATTAATATTTGGTTGGAAATATTGGTGAGGTTTAGTTGAAACTCACTACCTGTTTGGCCTGTTTTCTCTGCTTAATTGAACTGACATGGTTTAAATTTCAACCATATATGAAATTGAGAATGCAAGTAAATATGGCTCAACTCCTGTTCCACACTTGAAGTGTTTAGTGGTCATATTGACATTACTCAAACAGTTGGTGAGGCTTTTACTTTCGAACAATTATTTAGCTTGAACATCTGCACACACATTGTGTTCAACTGCTGCCATGTTTGGGCTGGTACTGCCTGGTCTTCATTTTAAAGTTTTAGAGGACAAAAGCATCTATGTGGCCTTGTGGGTGATGAATTATTTTCTACCTTTCAATCCCTTTCCCACAGAAAAATCATTGCAAGCCTCTTGCTACTATATTGATATTTCTATGGAAAATGTTCAGATGAGCTTCATTTCTTTAATTCCTCTAACTTTAAACTTCCTGCCTAAGATCTGCCACGGTGATCACAGTGAGGAAAACTACTTTTATTCCCTTCGTATTCCTTTAGTAAGGAGTAAGTTCTGTTTCTTCTAAGAACTCTTGCTTTGTGGAACAGAATCTCAGGAGGATACTTTCCTGACCACTACAATCTAAATCTCTTCCAAGCAAGGGTTAACGGTTATCTTACCCACATATTCAGATAAACTGTGTCTCTTATTTTTACTGCTCCCATAACAATTATTTTCAGTAGCCCTCTACTTTGAGTGGCCTTTGGGTCTTGTGTAGGTTGAAGATTACAAAAAAAAAAAGAAAGAATTTCTAAATCAGTGTAACAATCCAATAAGATATATACATTTTTTCAAGGTCTTCAAAACATACTTGAAGGTCTTCCCTTAATTTTACAGGCACTTCATGTACAGGGTGATTGAAAAGTAACACCCTTTTTAAAATACTTATAATTTATTTATTAACTATAATTTTTACAAGAAATAGATATGAGAGGAGGAAAACATTTAGCATGAGGTTTTATTTAAAATTTGATATGGACACCAGATTTTGCTACCAGGTTCTCAAGCCACCCAGGAACTCTTGTGGTATGGAAGACATAACTTCTTGTATTCACTTTTTGAGTTCTTCCAGTCTTTCTTTAGTATAATAGA